AGACCTATCCTCAGACTTACCTACAACTCACATAACATCTGTGCCAAAAAAAAATATTCGCCTCAGACATCTTTCCATCTTTAGAGCTGACCCCGCCACAGCATGATTTTCTTTGAACTTCTTCTAGTGGCTACAGACATGACCGTAACCTCAACGACATTCTGGTTATGAGAGTCGGTTATGACCTGCGACTAAGGCCCACTTAGGCACGGTCTCCTGCCACAGATCTGTTATCAGACAACATCTTTAAGACATGAAGAATGGTGCCCTGAAACCAGTTTCATTGCACTTCAGTTCTCAGAATAACCAAGGTGTCCATGACGTGGAGGTGACAGCTATTAAATTCAGCCACTCCAGCGACAGAGTCCGCAAGTCTCCTGATAATTATTTTATTTTTACCTTGCGGACCCTAACACCTAGGGGACTGAATTGTCAACACAGTTTATTCTAAAATTCTTGAGTTAAGGCCTTTAGCATTTCCGGGCTTTTTATTTTTGTGCCACATTTGTCACATCCTTGAAAAAGTCGATAGCTTTATATACCTAGGGAGTAAGATGACACCTACAGGGTACTGAGTGCCAGAAATATCCTTTAGAATCGCACTTGCATCTAGTGCCTTTTCCAAACTGTCAAACATTTGGAAGTCAAAGACACTCAACAAACACATAAAACATAAGATCAACTTTTGTGTGATTCCAGTACTAACTTATGGTTGCGAAAGTTGGAAAGCAACAGTTGCTCTTGATAAAATAAATTAGGCAATTCTGAGAACAGATGTCTTAGAAGGATATTGAATATCCACTGGGAAAATTTCAGATCTAATACGCAAATAAGACAAGAGACCAAGCAAGAAAATGTATACAAAATTTTAAGAAAGCCCTGCTGGAATTGGATAACCCAAAAATATGGATATGAATTTCAACTATATCATAAGCCTTTGATAGAGTCGACAGGAATCTGTTGTGGGAATGTATGGGGAAAAAAGGGAATCAGCAATCATCTCATTAATATTTGCAAAAGCCTGTACACATGTAGTAAATGCTGCATAAGATCTAAGGCAGAGTTGTCAAGAACTTTTATAGTGAACTTTGGTGTGCGTCAGGGCTGGGTACTATCGCCGCTTTTTTTTTAACATACATGGATACCATATGTAGCGAAACGAACTTTAATCATGAAGAAGATATTACAGAATTACTATTCGCCGATGACCAGAGGTACTCACAGCAGAAAATACGGAATGCCTACAGAACCACCTAAATCAAATAAGTAACAAAGGGGAGGAATAAAATATGAAAATAAACACTACGAAGACAAGACAATGAAGATAGGAAGACAAAAAGACAATTTAGAAATAAAATTAAAAAACAACACCCTGAGACAAACAGAGGAATTTAAGTATTTGGGAGCAATTTTCACATCCGATGGAAAACTGGACAAAGAAATTAGCTCCAGATGTGCCAAAGCTAATCAAGTAATGGGGCAACTATCTCCCCTGTTGACACACAAGCAGATACCTCGGAGTACTAAAGTGAATCTTATCAGAACTATTTGTTGGCAAACATTATGCTATCAATGCCAAACGTGGACACTTACATCCTCCAATGAACGTAAAATTGTGACGTCAGAAATGAAATGCCTTAGAAAAGCTGCAGGAGTTTCTAGGAAAGACAGAATACGAAATCAAAAAATCAGACGAATGCTAACTAAAACATTACAATGGGTATAAAGCGAGTGGAAGACCTCGGAAAATATGGAGTGATGGCATTAAGAACAGCCTTACAGAAATGAACATCAGTCTTAATAGTGCTCTTGACAAAGCTCATCAACGTACATTACATCTCTCCCTGACACTTCGATGAGGTACAAGGTGGAAGAGAAGAAGAAGAAGAAGAACTATATCATGGCCACTATTTTTAGCATATTCAGTATTTATGTTAAAATTTATACTGAAGTACCGAAATGGCACTTTTATATACGACTTATGTTTTTTAAATCTACAACAATTTTAGCATTTTTTAAAGCATCTGTCATTACTTTAAGTCTGCAGTATTGCCTGTTTTAGACATTTTTACCTGGCTTACCACCCCTAAATCCAGAGCATATAACCTATTAAAATGTTTACAAACAAGTTAAAACTATAGAGTAAAACTAAAAGCAGAATACACAGCTAATTTGTTAGGCCATCTGCATCTAATGGTTTGAAAGTTACAGGCTCCCTGGAAATAGTTGCTGAAGCTTCAGAGATTGTGCTTTGTGCAACATTCTTGACAGGTGGTTAGCCATTGTGCAGAGAAAAATCAAGACATATAGGGTAAAACCAAGTGCAATAAAGATAATTTATTTTTTAACTTTCAACCTGTAATAATCATTAACCCATAAAGTGTCTACTTAAAACAAGTGAGCTGATGGCCATTTTTTATGTTAATTAGAAAATAATGCCTAATATCAGCATTTCTGTGTTATTAAAATGTGTGCCTAATCATTCCGCACAATACTGTATAGATCTTGCCATGCTCGTTAGCAGAAAACCACAAATTTATATGGTGTTTACTTAAAAATAGTGAGCTTGCAGCCTTTTTATTTGTTAATGAGACCTGTTTTGCATCACATGTATTTAAGAAATGTATATAAAGTTAGGCCTCACTGTCTCGATTGCAATGATATGAAGTTGCTAAGGGATTCGTTAAAAAACAAAATGGTCATCCCCATAAAATGCAAACATTTAGTAATTTAAATTTTAGATGTTACTGGGACACAGCCATGAATCCATCTTTTGTCAGATACTCTATAAGTTGTCTATGGTAGTATCCGCCACTAAAATGTTAATATCTTCGCTAAGAATTTACTTACAGGTTTTACTGATTTGCAGTTGAATCCGACATTTTATTCTCTATCTAACTGATGGTTTAATATTAATTAATAATAATAATAAGAATAAGTAAAAATCCAACATATAAAATTTCGGCTCTAGTGTCAATTTTGGCCGGTAAGCTGGACTGCTTCGGCCGGCTTAGTGGGGCTTAGTGTGAGTTATGTCCCGTCGCGTCCCTTCGCGAAACTCAAAACAGGTCGCGGAAAAAGTCACGAATCAAATGACATACTTACCTATCATCATCCGGGTGCGTGTAGGGCTGCATAGGGTTGCGTCGAGGGTTACCTATCATCATACGGTTGCGCGTAGGGCTGCGTAGGGTGTCTATCATCATCATACGGTTGCGTGTAGGGATGCGTAGGGTGTCTATCATCATCATCATACGGTTGCGTGTAGGGTTGCGTAGGGTTTGGGTTAGCGGTAGGGTTAGGGGTGTGGGTTAGGGGTAGGGTTAGGGGTAGGGTTAGAGGGAGGGTTAGGGGTAGGGTTAGGGGTTAGGGTTAGGGTTAGATGTGAAAATTTTCACGTAGGAGGTCGAAATACTGGCCGACAATCTGATGCTTGTGGGAGTGGCGCGGCTGGTGCCCAATCGGTGGCGAATTGTCCATGTCAGTAGCATCCACCGTCCATCGACTGTTTGCGCGTGCATGCGACTGTGCGCGATTGTAGGGAACTACAGCGTCATAATTGTCACATCTAACGCTACACCTAACCCTAAACCCTAACCCTAACCCCTACACCCTAACCCTAACCCTACCCCTCATCTTACGCAAACAACCAACCTACACGCAATAAACAGCCCTACACGCAACCGTAGGACGATGATAGACACCCTACGCAAACCTTCACGCACCCGGATGATGATAGGTAAGTATGCCGTTTGATTCGTGACTTTTTCTGCGACTTGTTTTGAGTTGTTTTGAGTTTGGCCAAGGGACATAACTCCCACTAAGCCCCGCTAAGCCGGCCGAAGCAGTCCAGCTTACCGGCCAAATTTGACAGTAGAGCCAAAATTTCACTTGCCTCCTTATTCTTAGCAACGGTGTGCTGACTGTGCTAACAGTGTCAAACTTGGACATTGTTTTCAGAAAACAGAAGGAAAATAGTTTTAAAAAGTCATGACAGAAACGAAATGTTTATTGTGCAGCAAGGAAATGGGAATGTTGATTTAGGAACGATGGCAGAAATAGGCTCTACTTTGAACGGCACCCTAAAATGGCGGCCATAATATGATGCCAGATTCTGGCCATAAAATATCCAAAAATATCCTAACGGTGTTGAGGCGTATCTAAAATACGGACTTTCTGCCAAGGGACAAATCGCGGCAAAACTAGGATTACTTGACAATCAATATCAACATTGCACACGGTAGTTGCAGACGATAAATACCGACCGTTGACAATTTCGAGCGTTTCTGCAGACGACGATACTAGCAGGCGATATTAGCGACCGTTGACCAATTTCGAGACATTATAGATGATGAAAGCCGATTAGCAATACTGTGTTCTTCCAATGGGAGGATTTAGCAGCGGTAGATGTCAGACTTGTCCGCATGCGCAAAACGTGATTAAACTCATCGCCGAGTGTATCCCCAGCGCCACTACGCGCGGGGCAGATGGGGGGGGGGGGGGGGCTAAACTAGGTGCCTGGGACTCAAAAGTAAAGTAACTGGAGGAAGTTGCAGGAGATGCGGTAGCTACTGCTCGTGAGTCCCAGCCATCTAGTTTAGTCCCCATCCGCTACGCGGCATCATATTATAAAATAAAATAGGAGGGTCGGCACAGAACTAATATTGAACTTTATAAAGTAACCAAAGGACCTGTCCAGGTAACAAGTTTGGGATGAGACAAGCATCACAGACATCAATGTTATAGTATACAGTTACAGTGGTAATAGATCCACGCAGAAAAATCTCAGTCACTGAAAGTAGAGTAGAACTAGAAGCGAACAGAAGGGCACTTCTTGAACTTCTTCCTTTAACTTTTCGACCGACGCCTCGAGGCATTCTAAGAGTAGGCAGAGGAAAGAACAAGAAGAAGAATGATTCAAGGACAGATCTATAGATATGTAAACACCTAAGTCAGGCACATGATTAAGAATGACAGTTTACAAATGCACAACTACACACCATTTTGCCAAGAATATTGTACGACGATTCTTTTTCTTTGGCTCAAATTCACAAGTATGGAATTTGCAATGTTGCGCATGCGCATATTTGCGTCCGTTTGCTGAAAGGGGATTTGTAATTGGTGAAAACAGTTACTTCCTTTGCACAGAGTCCCTAGCAACAGCGCCATATCATCACATCATCAGGTGCCTTGCCGACTGGCGTGGGCGATCATGCCTCTCCATAATCTGCTATCTCCTGCAGCATGTATCAGTTCGTGTGCCGACACACCTCCATGCCATGCAACAAGACTGTCAAGCATCTTATCTCGTTGTCTTCCTCTATCCCTCCTTCCACAGATCTTTCCAGTTGTCACAACATGTTCTATTTTCCCTCTTCTCATAACATGGCCGAAAAATGATGACTGTCTCCTTCTGATGTCTGTGATAAGTTGTCTTCGGGCTCCCGCCTCTGTCAAAACCTCTTTGGCTGTTCAATGTATTATAAGCATTCTTCTGTAAAACCACATCTCTGAGGCCTTTAAAAATTGTTTAGCCTGCCTACCGATTGTCCAGGATTCACATCCATATGTTAAAACTGGATGTATGTAGCAAGCAAGAATTCTTTTTCGAACTCTCAATGACAAGGATATATTGCACAAGATGTTTTTCATTTTATAAAATTGCAGTTTTTTGCTGTTCCAATTCTGTTTCTTATTTCAGTTATGCATCTTCCATCTGATGTTATCCATGTGCCCAGATACTTAAATTTCTGTACTTGTCCTAAAATAACAACATTGACTTTTATTACACATTTAGGAATAATTTGTTTCTTTGATACCACCATTACTTCTGTCTTCGCATTATTCAAACTGAGGCCCATTCTTCCGCTTTCTAACACCACAATGTCTATCATTTCCTGTAATTCTTTCTGACTTGTTGCTATCAAGACGGTGTCATCAGCATAACGTAAATTGTTTATATTGTGCCCACCAACCACAATTCCGTGCATATCAATTAAAGATCTCATTATATATTCACTGTATATTGAAAACAAATCAGGTGAAAGTACACATCCTTGTCGTACGCCCCTCTTTGTGATTTGAAATGTACCTAAACAGTTGTTTATTCTTATAGCTGCTGTTTGCTGCCAATACATATTCTTTATTATTCGTAGATCTTTCCCTTCAATGTTTAATTTTTCTAACAGTTTGATTACTTCTTCATGCTTCACACAGTCAAATGCTTTTGTATAGTCTATGAAGCATAAGTACAAATCAGTCTTTACTTCTATAGCTCTTTCTGACAATGTCCTTAGGATGTATATGGCATTGTTTGTATCTTTTCCTTCTACAAATCCACATTGTTCATCGCTGATCTCTGGTTTAATTTTGTGTCTTATTCTTCTCATAATTATTCTCAGTAAAATCTTAGTCATGTGACTCATAAGACTTATTGTGCGATGGTCTTCACATTTTAAAGTGCCTGGTTCTTTGGCAGAGCTATAAATATGGATTTTAAAAGGTTATTTGAAATATACACACTATTATAAATATCATTTACAAGTTTAGTTATTATTACAATTCCAAAATTTCCCAGTGCTTCGATTTCTTCCAGTGAGATGTTGTCTGGCCCTGGTGCTTTTCCTTTCTTCATATGATATATTGCATCCTCAACTTCTGCAACAACAGCGCCATATATATATATATATATATATATATATATATATATATATATATATATATATATATGTGTGTGTGTGTGTGTGTGTGTGTGTGTGTGTTTGTGTGTTAATTTTTCGATGTCGTTAGCTAAAAACTCGGAAACTACTGAACCGATTGCTTTCAAATTTGCACACAACGTTGCATTTGACTCCAAACGGGATTTTTTGTCAGAAAATCGCACAAACCACGAACGACGTAGCTCCGGTTCGGATTTCTTTTTAGTTAATTGGCTATTTTTGGCTGCCGAGCTCTTATTGAACATTGCATTATTATATAATCTCATTTCCACGAACTGTTCGAGTGTTTGGTATCGTAGTTGGTAACTATTCTGCTTATAATGCGGCTGACCCGCGTTCGATTTCCAGCTAGGTGAAATAATATTCTTCTTTTTAGCCCACAACTGGGCGGCTAGCATGTTGTGATTTATGGCTAGGCTGCAATATCTACGCCTTTTTCGGTTTTGGGGTTTTCAGCTAGCCTGCGACAGCGGCGACGTGATGCTCAATGGTCATGTCACGAGTATTCTTCTTTCGACCGCGAGAGGGCCGTTGGCACGTGTTGTTGTGGTTTACAGATAAGCTGCGATATCTGACCTAAACTCTTCAGTCTTCGGTAGTATAGTTGCAAGTGTTCTATCCTTCACGCGGGTGACCGGTGTTCGATTCCCCACTGGGTAATAATTGTCCTTTTTCTCCTTAAAAGGGTGGTTGCCACGTTGTGTTGTGGGTTACAGCTAGGCTGCGATATCTGCGTCTTTCGCCCAAAGACATCCGATTTCAGTTAAGTCACAATTAGCCTTCCAGCGACGCTTCTCAATCAAAAACAATTCGGCGATGACAGAAACTGTTACCTTAAACGGCTTACAGTCCAGTTTAGTTTTTGGTAGACACGGATGCCAAGGTCAGTTAAAAATCGCTCCTTCGGAGAGGGAGAGATGACGGGTGCGGGGTATTTGTCTCCGCTATTCGTGAGTATAGTGTACTTTTTACTGTGGGTTCCATCATTGGTTACGTGATGAAGTTTTTATTTTATTTCTATGTCGGGGGCAACATTAAACTAAATAGTCCGTGGCGACAGCATGCGGGGCTAACTCCTCTTTTCTACACCAACCTACACAAACTGTAGTGACAGTTGTTGTTGTTGTTGTTGTTGTTGCTGCTGCTGTTGTGATGGTGGTGGTGGTAGTGGTTGCAGTAGTACTGGTACTGGATGGGTGATGTGGTAGCTGTTACACTAGCCACATTTACTTCTCAGTACACGTTAATGCTACCTAGGGGGAGTGGGGGTGGGGTTTACCAGACACAGTTAGCTGAGATGGATGCTTTTTCAATTTTTGGGAGAGGGAGATATGATTGGGGGAGGAGGGGGGGGGGGTTATGCCAGACACCGTTAGCTGAGAGAGCTTAAAATATTATTTTAAAGTTCTTATTTCTTAACTATTTCTATTTTAATAATTTCGCCATGGATGATTTTTCAATCCTTCGGAGAGGAAGATATGACAGCGTCAAGAGGAGAGGAGGGAGGGGTATGACAGACATTATTAGCTGAGAGCTATTTTCTTTCCTCTCCATTTCACCATTCTGTGCCACAACAACGCGTGGCCGGGCACAGTATATATATATATATATATATATATATATATATATATATATATATATATATATATATATATATATAGACATTGCGTTGTTAGAAAGTGGGAGAATAGGCCTCAGTTTGACTAATGGGACTACAGAAGTAATGGTAATATCAAAGAAACGAATTATTCCTAAATGTGTAATAAAAGTCGATGGTGATTTTGGGGCAAGTACAGAAATTTCAGTATCTGGGCACATGGATCAGATAGAAGATGCAAAACTGAGATAAGAAACATAATAGGGCCGGCAAAAAACTGCATTTAAAAAATGAAGAACGTTTTGTGCAATATATCTTTGTCATTGAGAGTTCGAAAAATTATTCTTGCTTGCTACATACATCAAATTTTAACATATGGCTGTGAATCCTAGGTGAATCGGTAAGCAGGCCAAACAATTTCTTGAAGTCTCAGGAATGTGGTTTTACAGAAGAATGCTTAGAATACCTTGGACAACCAAAAAGAGCAACTTTGAGGTTTTGAAAGAGGCGGGAATCCGAAGACAACCTATCACAGACATCAGAAGGAGACAGTCATAATTTTTCAGTTACGTTATGAGAAAAGGGAAAATAGAACATGTTGTGACAACTGGAAAGATCTGTGGAAGGAGGTATAGAGGAAGACAACGAGAGAAGATTCTTGCAGACCTGTTGCATGGCATGGAGGTGTGTAGGCACACTAACTGATACATGCTGCAGGAAATCGCAGATTATGGAGAGGCATGATCGCCCACGCCAGTCGGCAGGGCACCTGTTTATATATATATATATATATCCAGCCTCATATCTCTTGGTCTGCCTCTATCCCTTTTTTTCCCAGTTGTCCCGATGTTCTCCAGTGTCTCTCTCCTAATTAAGTGGCCAAAGAACAGTTTTTGTCTTTTTTTAATTGTTGTATAAAGATATCTACTTTCATTACTTTCTTTTAAGCAATCGTTGTTAGTTACTCTAGCCGTCCAAGGTATTCGTAACATTCGTCTAAGAAACCACTGTTGCTTCCAAATATTTCCTAATTTGTTCAGTGACATTCCAAGAGTCGCTGCCATACAGCAGAACAGGTTCTATGTAACATTTTAGCACCCACTTTCTGACATTAAATTAGAGAGATTTATTGCATACGATATTTTGAATTTTCTTAAATGCAGCTTTCGCTTGATCTATTCTGCTTTTAATCTATGTCACACATTTTCCTTCTGATGATATGATCGGTCCGAGATATTTGAGTTTATTGACTTAGTTAAGTCTTTTCCCTTCAATTGAGATATCACAACATGGAGTTTTTTTCTTCTTTGATATAACCATTACTTTAGTGTTCCTAATACTCGATTAAAGTCCTTTCTTCGCACTCTCTATCCCCACCACAATATCCAGCAGTTGTTGAAAATCAGTTGCATTTTCAGCTATCAAAACGGTATCGTCTGCATAACGCAAACTGTTTATATTGTATCCTCCAACTCTTACTCCTCCATTATCTTTATTTTCCCTCAAAATTATTTCACGATATAGAGAGAAAAGGTCCGGGGATAAGACACATCCCTGTCTTACTCATTGCTTTATCTGTTCGAAAGTACCCAATCTGTTTCTCACTTTAATTGCTGCTACTTGGTTCCAGTAAATGTTTTTAATTATTCTGAGATCTTTCCCGACTACATTGATGTCTTCCAACATT